CAGGGAGGCAGACATACAGAACTACAGACAGGCAGACATACAGAACTACAGACAGACAGGCTGAGAAATAGACAGACACAGATGGAAACAGACAGACAGACACAGACAGGCTGAGGTACCTTGACTGAGGTGCCCCAGCCAATGATAAGGGTACAATTGTCCTTCCAGCACAAGCTGCACGGATACATGTCAGGCCGCAGGGACATGTTGTCCCGGACCACGTTGGTGATTCGCTGCTTTGTGCTGATGTCGTAAATTTTCACTCCCTATCCGGAGGAATGAGAGCTGCTTTCAGTGTGATTTTACCAGAAAGGAAAACAGAACAGGTCATCTTGACATACAGAGAACAGAAAGAATCTGACTGTGAATACTATTACTTTGTTATTACTTTCACTCATATTAGACAGTCAGTGATGTTTTACTTTGTCTTTAGAGGCTGAAACTAAAAAACAGACTTAACAGGTGCACTTACTCCCCACTAAGCACTAGTGATGGGAGACACTTGCACTTAAGGACAGAAAACTCTCAAAGGAACATGCAGAAAACTCAGAGCTACAGCAATTTCATTCCACATTTTCAAAGGACTCTGAATAAAAACAAAGATCTGTATCCTTATTGAGCCTTGAAACTACAGCAGTTACATGGATGGATGGATGGATGGATGGATGGATGGATGGATGTCCAGCATTTTTTAAACAAAAAACTACCCCAATGCATTTGGAAAATGTCGTCCGTTCTTGCTTGGCGTCAGTACACTGTATCTTAAAATCTCAAATGTTCACGTCAATGTGCCAGAAAATTCTGTTGTTTGCTGTGAAATATATGCTTTTAACATACACACTCAAAATGATAAAAGGATGGAAGAGACCCCATTCTGTCTCCTTTTGCCTATTGCTGGCCAGTTACATGTAATAGGTGGCGAAATAGAGGCCTTTCTGCCATAAGTGGACCAATCATCAGGTAGGAATGGCGGCCATGTTGAAACACAGCCCCTGCTTTGGAGAAAAGGAAAGGACTCCGGATAGTTAATATACCAGCACAGCAAATCAGGGGCCGACTTTCACAGAGGGGCACCTCCAACGTGCCTCACCGCTTCTACAATCCTGATCATTATCCCGCCAAACAGCTACATGTGCTGCTCTGATAGCTTGCCAGTCCTGCATTAAGAATCTCCTGTGGGAAGCTGCTATACAAGCTGGGAGCTCTCTAATGAAACACGGATCAAGGATTCTTTCATAATAATAATAATAATAATAATAATAATAATAATAATAATAATAATAATAATAACAACAACAACAACAACAACAACAACTAGTAGGAGTAACATAATTGTTATTATTATAGTAATATTGCAATTATTGTATCATTAACACCTATATATCATTATTAGTTATCATTATTACCTGCTAAACATTACGCTCATTAAATTACACCTGCACAGACTTGAGTTCCAGCCATCAAAAAGCTACTGGGGGGGGGGACCTTAGATTTATTTATTTCTAAGTATCTTCCGACTCCCAGAGGGACTTTTCAGGCTCATTTCTTTTCTTCTTCTTCAAGATGGACGTTACGGTTGGCCGCTGATTCCCCTTATAAGGGCTGACAGTCAGATCCAGATCCATGTCTACATCTACATTTAACCACAGGGAAATGGGTCATTCCAAATTACATAACATTTTTACTTAGTCTGCCCTTAAAAAGGATATATTTCACACACACACACACACACACACACACACACACACACATCTCACCACATTGTTGGCCCAGGCTATGAGGTTTGCCCTCCACTTGATGTTGGTGATTATACCCTCTCCCTCATGCAGAGACATCATCTTCCAGCGATTCAGCCAATTCCTCTCATACAGCAACAGCTGCAGGACACAAAAGTAAAGTTAAAAACAGGATTATCATGCATAAAATGTGATATGCCATGAATAACTGGACATTTCACACCTCACTGGCTACAGTGAGGGTCCGCGAGTGCTTTTGTTTCAGCTCGCATCTCAGATTTCTCCACAGGAATGACTTTCACCTTGGAAAAGCCAAAACATATTTCCAGAAGCATAACACGTCACGTCTTTCACAAAATATATGAAGTGGTAGCAATTTGCTTTTGCGCACAGAGACTGAAACAATTATTTGCCCAATTAAGCGTAATTCATTTGTTGGCATGGCATAGCGCTAAAACTCCGATTCACTGCAGCTGGCGAGAATGGGAAAGCATCACCGACGTAAAAGCTTAGACGACAACAACCTGAGGGACAGATACATCAAGGATCACTTTAACATGGGATCCTCAAAGCAAAGAAATCCACTCATGTTCCATCATTTTGAAGTTCCTCATTGCTAAATCTACAAAAAAATAATGCCATTTCAGTTTGGTAAAATTTCTATTTGGGTGCCTGGAAAATACTTGAGGGAAATTTTGGAAAACAAAACTACAAACTAAAACAGAGTAAAAACATGCAAAACATATCACCCCCCCACCAAAAAAAAAAAAAAAACCCTGGTAAATAACGTACTTATTCCAAAGCTGCAAATCAGGTTTTTTTTCTCCCCATTTGTAATGAAGCTATATAGAGAAATGAAACCTGACCAAACAGTTTGTTAATAACATGCATAATGTTCACCAGCAGAGGGCAGTCACACACTAGATGATCAAACGGACCGATACATTGTCAGTCTGAAGCCAAACATCAACACCATGTTATCACCTCAAGAATCCTTTCAAAAATTATTCCTCCTAAGTGAGACATTGCCGCTACTCTGCTCATAACTGAAGTTTTTCTTTAAATAAGGGGGAGTTGCAAAGAAAACAAAAGTAAGGTGATACAGCAGGGGTCTCCAACTCCGGTCCTGGAGAGCTACTATCCAGTAGGTTTTCTGTCCCACTTGGCTTCTGATGAGCCACACCTGCTCCTGGTATTTACCTGAGAACAGGTGTGGCTCATCAGAAGCCGAGTAGGATAGAAAACTTACTGGATAGTAGCTGTCCAGGACCGGAGTTGGAGACCCCTGTGATACAGTATTCTTCACATTCCTAAGGCTTTTAGTGGTACTATCTGGCAGCAAGCAGTCTCCTCCACCACTGATTGGTGTACAGCACCTCCATTTGACACAACGGCCAATCAAAGGCCTTGTTTCACTGTGCCACCATTAAGCAGGCAGCCTGGGCCCCGGGGCCCGATCAGGCAGTAGTGCACTGATGCTGGAGCCTGATGCTACTCTCCACAAAATGGGGAATTATGACATTGAATGTCGACCCCTTTGTTTTTGGCCCTAAAATCTGCTTACCGTCAAAAAAGTCGGCTCTGCATACGTGGCCTAAAAGAGCCGTTGACTCCATCACTGTTCCTCACTAAAAGCAGAACACCTCTAATTTTATTGTCGTTCTGTTTTGCGGCTGTAAGTGCTACAGCAAGCTTGTGCTAGATTGAATCAATGGTTAATTATTAATTCATACACACACGAGTTTAGCGGACAAATGGCGTAGCAGGTCTGCCAGCTTTAAATGTGCTATGAAGCCTTAAAGACTTTTCGATCGATTCAACGGAGTAAATCCGAAGATGCAGTCTACCATGATTTAAACATTCATTTAACGTTCTAAGTCTGCACAGCTTTTATGTAAATGCAAGATTTCTCCAAGAAATATACTAGCCTAAGAAATGGCAACGTTTTCTTCCCCCCCAGAATTCACCGAATTTATTCAGACAGGAAAAACACGCAAAATGAAATGCAGCAAAGAAATGGGCGAATCAGCACTTTGGATTTGTTAACAGGTCAGATAACATGGAGGAAATATGACTCTACGCGCTATGGCGAATTGCCGTGATGAGTCGTACCTTCTGCAGAAGCGTATCGATTTTCATCAGTCACATTTTATGAAGTTATCATTTAAAACACGCAGGCAGAGAGAGACAACAGGGCAGATGGCGATCAGGGAACAAGCGCCCGGTATTACGGCTAATCCCTCACTGGGACAGGATGCATTTAAAGGCACAGTGCAAGCACAGTGGAGGGAAACCTAACTAGCTGCAAGTAACAATAACGGCGAGAAGACTGCTAGTCTTCCTAACAGTAGCTATTTACTATATTTTGGAGCAACGGCGCTTGATAACAGAGCACTTAATTGAAATGGGCCACTCTCCCCTGAGTACACTCCAGGATACGAATAAGTGAGGCCTATATTCCGGCAAACGGCTCTCTGGGCCCAACTGCAGTTACTCTCCCCAGTCAAAAGTGCTCAACCAATGGCCTGCATTTTTAATCATCGTGTCTGTTTCATAACCCCTCCCCTCAACTCTTATTGGTTTGCATTCTCTGCAAATAAGGCCCTTAAGTGCAACATGCACTAGTATCCTCCAGCAGGGGGCAGCTGTGTGTAATAAGACTTGCAGTTGGGTAAAAACAGGTAACATATGCACCGAAACAGCACATATTCTTGTTTATGTGTATTTACAGCTCTTCAATCAGTGATTACCTTGAAATACTTTAAAAAAAACATACCAATTGCTGGAGTTTATTTCATTGAGTAAGTGTACGTTTGACATATGCATGACATAAATACATCTAAGAGACAGCAGTTGTGACATCACACATTTTTTGCATATTCTCCAGAAAAATTCCTGAAAATGTCATGAAGCTAAAGCACTGGGTAACACCATTGGTCAAAAACAAGACCTTCATCCTTAATATTAGTCATCGTTTCCAATAGAATTACTCTCGAAAAAAATCATCAAATTACAGCTGCACTTTCGAGGGAGAGCAATTGATGTCAAATCAGAATTTCACCATGTGCAATGCTACACTGGACCAGCATATGGTGTCACACTGGGGTTCTCCTCAAAGTTCCTCTGTGTTGGCCACCTGTGTTCCACAAGCATCCACTAGTGCACATATTTAACATGAAAAATTGGAAACCGTATACTTTTCCCAACAAGCGTGAGATAAGAGTAAGAGTGGAGCACAGCTACGTTCCCTTCAGCTTGTCATTTTACTGTGTAATGCATCTCATCTACAGACAGCTATCTATCTTGGGAACGAGCGAGAGCTTCCCCAAGTTCCCTCCTGAGGGCAGAGGCAACAACAGCCCCAACATTAGCATATAATTCAGTTGTTCTACTTTAAACGTGTCAAACCAAGAGGTGGAAGGACTTCTGCTTATGCTTTGTGAGTCATTTTTTCCCCATTAATAACAATGATATATCAGCCAAAATGATGCGTGTTAAACATGAACGAAGCCTTTAACTAAAGTGTCTATGTGATTTAATTGTGGGAAATGATAAATTTAGTAGCCAGGGGATATTATAAAGATGCCCAGTGAAGGTGCAATTCTTTTGTGCAGAGTTTTAGGTAAAATACCTTTTAATACCCAGTAGAGGCCCTGGCTAATTAAAAGCGTTAAACTTAACACACAACTAATGCACTTCTGAGATCCATGCAATTAAAAGATCCCATGTAGCATTTGACCTGCAATCGATCCACAGAATTCTATGGCGTTCTAGACAGAGTAACTGCCCGTATCACACCAACCATCTGGGTAACTTCATAATGTGCATAAATATTGGAGAATGCTGAGGAAGAACCATGCTTAGGAAAGAGGGGAAGCTGGTCAGAGAGAAAGCTTTGAGAAGAACTTGCTTCAGTCTGCAGAAGCCAGGATAAAGATGTACAGCAACAAGACAATGATCTAAAGAGCACAACCTCAATGACTGTGCAGAGGCTTAGAAGAGGAAAAACTCAATATCGTAGAGTCAACCAAGTGAAATCCGGCACTTATATCTTAATTACGACCGAGAAGAAGGCCGCTGTCCAACAATAACACCAAATCTTGCTGACAGAGTTTTACAAAAGCAGGTAAATAGCACACTTGGCTGTCTGAAGCATTATCCTGAGGGTGAATACTTACAGATCCAACCAGTCCAGTTTAACTGTTCAACTATATTTTAATTAAAAAAAAATAAATTAAACTTTTCCAATTGGAAGAATTGTCTTCCTCTAAACTGTGTAAATTAGAAAAATCTAAGGCACAATTTCATGGATTCCATGGGATAAACATCTCCTGTATGCATAGTAACAATTTTGAGTTTGGCCCATGTTTTCTTTTTTGACCAGGAGTGAATTTATTGGATTTTAAATTACAAAGCAGTACTGCTGCATTTACCATGAGGGGCTCCTTAATCACACTGTCATTATCTATGTTAAAATGCACAAGTTGGAGTCCATCTTTAGCCCAGCACCTTTACGCCTCCTATTTCCCAACCACACGCTGGTGCTGTGCTCATGGGCCCCGGCTCTGTACACCACTGCACTCCATCAGCTAACTTGGGTCCCATTCGGATCACCCTTAATTCTGCAAACTGCGAGAGAAACATCCCTGTCTCTCATACATCTGCTCTTCCCTACTCAGCCATCCCTTAAGGCCTGAAAGTAGGGAGAGCTGGGGGAGGGGGGAGGTGTTGGGCACCCCCCCCATCGATTCTGACCTTGGACACCCTTGGCCCCATCCCAAGGGCCAATTACAATCAGCACTCGCCTTAAGGAGCAACACGAAAGTGCACTTTTGGAATCCGCAGAGCGCTCATGTTGCAGTGCCCTGAAATCAGGTGACCGCTTCCCAGACACTACAGAATGCATCAGAGCAAGCGGCAGACACGTAAATCACACAGACGTGTGGTCCACCTTCTCCTGGGCTTCCAGCCCCGCTGCGCACCCACAGATTCGTTTTTAAGCTCATATAAACTCATACCATTAAAATATAACCACATCTTTCAAAAGGGTAAAATGACAATTAATGAAACAGGTTTGTAACTTAATTATCTGATTCAGGTTTGAGTGGTACGCAGCTGTAAAGAACAAAAGTTGATTATTTCAATTAAATTTATTATAATTGCTGATGTTGTTACTGCCATTTATAATGCTAACAATAATGACGTTGTACAGCATTTCATCAATTGAGCAGATGCGACTACACACTGTTTTGAAGGCCATGCTGTTCTTATTGTCTCTAACCACAGTGAACGATTTGAATATGAGGATGGTTTGTGAATCAGTGGTTTAGGACGTTATACCCGTGATCGGAAGGGTGTCGGTTCAAATCTCAGGGACAGCAAAGTGGTGTTACTGTTGGGCCACTGAGCAGCCCCTGCTTTCTCTATTGTATATCGCTTTGGGTAAAAGCATCTGGTACATGAGTATGTAAACCTGCAAAGGACAGTAATTTCCAATACTACTTAAAAATGTCTTTTACACTGACCTTGTTTCCGCCAGTAACAAACTGCTTGTTGTTCGACCTGCTGAACTGTGGGTGCAGCGCCACCACCTGCATGGGAGAGAGGAAGCATCCGTAAGCTGACAGGGACATGGCCGATTCAGAGGCCATTCACAATCGGCATCCTTCAAAGAGCGCCCCTAGTGGTCATCACAGCGCATGGTACCGTCATCATCGGCGGAGAATCAGCACGACTTCTAACTTCGATGTGGACAGACACGGCAGACCCGGAAGAGATCGGTGGAATCCCACAAACGGCCAAACGGAAAAGTGGCCGGGGAAATCGGTGGGCGCCCCAGTAGCAAGAGACACTCGGAATAACTGTGGTCAGTAGGGGATCGGACAGGATTGGGAGGGAATGAGAGTGGTATTCCAAGACGTGACCCGGGGGGGTGGGATAAGTGAATAATAACAGGGATGGGGGCACTGGCTCAGTGCTGTGTCAGCATGGTGGGGAGTGGGGGGCAGATGACAGAGGCGGGGGCTTTTTACGTTTGGCGCCCTAAAAGGATTTCACTTTATGTTATTACTCTTCTCCTCCTTAAGTCTCCATGGGCAGGAATATTATTTCATATTTTATTGATGGCCGCATCACTTTGACTCGGGCCCCTGACGTGCAAACACACCGATCCTCTCCTCCCCCAGTGGTAATAAGGAGCCCGCTGTAGCCCAGGCCAGCTCTGGACACCCGTCACATGCTGGTCAGGCGCCCCCTCTTCTGGGCTGGGGGGGGCTGACGGGCACGTGAAAATGCACTGGCCCCAAGAGCTGACAGTGTCAGTCCCTGCCTAATTAGAGGGCTTTATAGCGGGGGTCCCTAGATCGGCGTGTGAGGCCGGACTCTCCGGCTGTCCGGATCCAAATCCGTATCCTGCCACCTTGGGATTCTCCTGCACTTTGGAGGATGATGCAGCAATTAAAGGTCATCACTCAGCTCCGTAAGACAGCAAGACTATATTGAAATACACTCTGCAAAATACAGAAGTACATACTTATGAATGGCACAAAATAATACATTAGGAAATTAAACATTTGGAAAATCAAGTGTAAACAGAATAGAAACTATTGTCATTGTACACGTACAAAGAAATTCTCTGTGCTCTCTCCACCAATGCCACATACTATAAAAAATAAAGGTAAAGTGTTCGGTCGGTCGGTCGGACAGACAGACGCAGTAACATATGCATTGTAGAGGTTCAGTATATAGTGACCCAGAGTGTGGTAGTGTTTCTGGGGCCTGAAGTGCGACAGTATTACAGCTCCTGTCATTCCCTGTCTGCAATGCACATGCCACTTTACACAGAACCACACAGTTCATAAACATGTCTGTTATGAGGCATTTCCCCTTACACCAAATAACAATGATTACCCTGACTCTGAGCTCAAACTACAACTGGGGGGGGGGGGGGACACGTGCAGGTGTGGATTGTCAGAGTCACTTGTTGTGAGTGTGTACTTGAGGAAACTGCTCTACGTACTCGAAGAGCGATTTAAAAGTGAAATTCGCCCTCGAGCAGACAGCCGGGCTTCCCAGAGCAGCGCGACTCTCCGTCAGCGAGCTGTAATTGTCCACTCATGCACCGTAGCTTCTCTCTCCTGCATGCTAATGCAGCTCCACACAATGTTGATGGGAGTCACATAATCTCTGAATTGTGTTGAGGGTTAGCCTGAAAAAAGCTTCAGGTTGAACTAGATGCCGTCGGAACGATAATAATATATTCCCTGGATGGATCCGTCACCCCCCCATATAATCCCTACTCCTCCCACCCTCCAACCTATACCATCTCGAGCCCCTCTACACGCTCTCCCACCTCTCCAAAAAATATCCGTTAACAGCACAACAGTGTGTGACTTGTCTCAATCAGTTTCAAAGTCTGTCTATTCATATGCTACCACTGTGTGGGGCTACTTTAATGTTGGTGTTACATCTCCCAAAATTTGAAAAGTTCCAGATTTTCACTCTTAGAATCCTAGAGTTTTCAATGTTTTAAAAAGATCTTTCACATACTTTTTGAATCATCATTCATCATATAGAGATCAGGTGTCTGCGGTGGCAGACCAATCTGAAAACCATGTGTAGTTTCCATTGGGGTCTCGAGAACAATGATAGTTTTTCTGTTGATGTGTTCAGTTCATGTAGGACGCAGAGTGATCAAATAAAATGTTACGCTAAAGACCATGCTGAAGTTGCCGGCATACCTTTATGGGACAGTCAAAGTTCTCGTGGAAGCCCTCTCTGGTGTAGAGTCCAAACACCTGCACCTGTGCAAGCCAAAGAGATGGGAAAAGAGGATGAGAAAAACCGACATTAAGGAGCAACCTCTGCACAACCTCTGCACAATGGGAAACAGAGCTTTGCCGCAATGGAGAACGTAATGCTCTTCTGGGAAAAACTGGGAAAACCCACTCTGGAAGCACTCAAAACTCAGAAAGTGGATGACAGAGGCCCACTCCGCAGCAACGTTGCCTAAACACACCGGAACCATGGGCACTCCCAGGCAGAATTCATGGCCTCTGCTTCAAGCATAAATTAATTGGGTGGAGGAAGCTTCCGGCACATTGCACAAAGTCAACGACATCAGACCCTACAGCCTGGCCACAGAACCACTGATGGCTTTTCAGGTGCATTCATTCATTATCTGGATGCAGACCAGCTCCTTCCCCAAGCCCACAAACGCACACTGAGGCCTCCTATTAAAGGCAAATCTGTGCGCTCAGTGATTGCCAGTAACCTGGAGAATTTGTTGATGCGGAGGCATGAGCTGAACTCTTATCAGACTCCTCTCCAGCATGTACAAAAAAAGTAAAAAAACATAAATAAAATGTATATGGATACAAAGGGGTTAAGAAACAAGACGCGACACGCAGATATACAGGGAATAGTGAAGCTTACGGTCAGCGCTTAGGATCAGCCATTTTTTTGTTGGCACCTCTAATGTTTGGGGTTAAGGTCCTTGCTCAAGGGTGCAAAAGTAATTTAATTACTCTGCAGGCTATGTTATTCAAACCAGCGACCTTCCGGAAAGGGGCACAGACTCCTAACCGGCAGAGCCACATCACCCCCAAGATCAATTTGATGGCCTTTATTTACCTTTATTTTGTAATACCACTCTTTTTTTTTTTTTTGAAGGAATGCAGATATTGTTCTCAATTTAAAGGCATTTGCTGCAAAGGATGCAACAGCGAATTATACTCTGAATTTAAGGCTGATGCACAAACACATCAATGGCTGCAAGTCAAAGACGATTCATTTTCAGGGGCACCGTGATCAAACCTTTGCCCTGATCTATATAGTCACTAGACCCCAATGTATGCCATGTCATTTATAAGCTCTATTCGTCAAAAATTTTTCAATTTAGGAGAAAATCAGAGTTTTTGTTCTTTTCACAGATGTCTGCGTGGTATCTGGTGCTTTTCACGGATGGCCTGTACCTTGGATGTACAAAAAGCTGTACGGTAAAGTAGTTATGCGTCTTCTGACGAGAAATATACAGGCCAAAGTGTCACGTGGGGACTTCTGTGTGTCCTTTATTGACAAGGCATATTTTCCTTTTCACCCAGAGCTCCGCCAGAAACAAAACGGTGTTACACAACAGGCATTCACTTAGCCGTTATTTACTTCAGCGGGATGGCTATTCAGTGAGCGTATTCCGACAAAGGGTGGACATTCCGAAGAAAGGCGACGCCCACTCCATCCACATCATCCTCCTTAGGTCAATACCATGAACTCTTCTTTCTGTATGTGGGCCTTCTGAGCCAAAAACATCCCATCTTCTATCAAAGCCGTGCATAATATCTCATGGCTGCCATAGAGCTCGGATCTGATGGGAACTTTCTGGAGCTTTACTGCTCACGGGGGAATCTAAATGCAGGTCAGTTCAGAGAACGTGAGGTCACTGTTTCATATGAAATATACACTATATTGCCAAAAGTATTGGGACACCCCTCCAAATCATTGAATTCAGGTGTTCCAATCACTTCCATAGCCACAGGTGTATAAAATCACTGAGCACCTAGGCATGCAGACTGCTTCTACAAACATTTGCAAAAAGAATGGGTTGTTCTCAGGAGCTCAGTGAACTCAAGCGTGGTACCGTGATAGGATGCCACCTGTGCAGTAAGTCAATTAGTGAAATTTCTTTGCTATTAAATATTCCATAGTCAACTGTTAGTGGTATTATAACAAAGTGGAAGCAATTGGGAACAGCAGCAACTCAGCCACAAAGCAGTAGGACGTGTAAAATCACAGAGCGGGGACAACGCATGCTGAGGTGCACAGCGTGCAGAAGTCAGCAACTGTCTGTAGAGTCTATAGCTACAGACCTCCAAACTTTGCGTGCCTTTCAGATTAGCTCAAGAACAGTGTGTAGAGAACTTCATGGAATGGGCTTCCATCGCCGAGCAGCTGCATCCAAGCCTTACATCACCAAGTGCAAATAGCGGCACGCTATTGGACTCTAGAGCAGTGGAAGACTGGAGTGACGAATCACGCTTCTCTGTCTGGCAATCCAATGGACGAGTCTGGGTTTGGCGGTTGCCAGGAGAACGGTACTTGCCTGGCTGCATTGTGCCAAGTGTAACGTTAGGTGGAGGGGGGATTATGGTGTGGGGTTGTCTGTCAGGGGTTGGGTTTGGCCCCTTAGTTCCAGTGAAAGAAACTCTTAATGTGCAGAATTTGAAGCCATTTTGGACAATTCCAAACAGTTTGAGGATGGCCCTTTCCTGTTCCATCATGACTGCGCACCAGTGCACAAAGCAAGGTCCATAAGCACATGGATGAGCGAGTCTGGTGTGGAGGAACTTGACTGGCCTGCACAGAGCCCTGACCTCAACTCGATAAAACACCTTTGGGATGAATTAGAGCCTTCTCGTCCAACATCAGTGCCTGACCTCACAAATACTCTCCTGGAAGAATGGTCAAAAATTCCCATAAACACACTCCTAATCCTTGTGGACAGCCATCCCAGAAGAGCTGAAGCTGTTATAGCTGCAAAGGGTGGCCCAACTCCACATTAAAGCCTATGTATTAAGAATGGGATGTCATTCAAGTTCATGTCTGTGTAAAGGCAGGTATCTCAATGCTTTTGCCAATATAGTGTAACACAGATCAAAAATACATGCCTGAATTTTAATTTATTCCTGGACATTGAACAAAAACGGAGTGTGACAAGGAATAACCAAATGAATATGAAATTACACCACCATAACTGTGCAGTTAGATTGCAGAGCAACTCATCTAGCTTAAAGACTTAAAATAATCAATAAAAAACATGATCCTCTAAGTGCAGAAATCGTTTATAGCTGTCTGCAGGACCAACGGGGAAGAGTCTGAACTAAGCAGAATCGGATTCAGAGGAAAAATGGCTATTTTAATTTGCACCTCTACTACCAGGGAGACAAGATCTTGTTTTACCATCGGAATGCGAGTTTCGGGAGATATCAGGGGGCATATCTCGACTACGCAATCCACCACGGATGGCGATAATCAGCGGGGCGGATGAGATAACAGCCGAGCTGAGATCAATAGAAGAATATCAATGGAAAACACGTGTTTGGTGGTGGAGGGAAAAATGTTTTAAAGAAAAAACTGGGGGCAAAAATGTCAGAACAGACAAATGCCTCATCAGGATAAATGCAACAGTGGAATGTAACAGACTCCCAAGGAATCGCAATTTCTCTATGATGCGCATCACAGGTGATCGTTTAACGACGATAGTAGGCGATCATTAGCCCGGCTGCTATTTAATCACCTGATCTTAACATTAAAAACAAAAAAAAATAACAGTCCAGTATAAACTGTGACATCTGTTGCAATGACTTAAAAATAAAAACGGAGCTGTGAAATTCATGGGCAGCACAATATTAGCAGTGGTTCTGGGAACAGACGTCTGTCAGTGCCGTGAATTTGCCGCCTGAGTGCACTAAGAGCCAGACTCAGAGTACCTGCTCTCCCGGCCACAGCAGAGGGCTGCTTTCCGTAATCGGCGCCGCCCTTCAGCCCTGCGGCCCCCCAGAACCACCTCTACCCAGCTGGGAATTAAACGAGCGCCTGCCGCCCACATCGAAATGCACCAACATTAAAAATCACCCCATACTTTTTATATCAGGAATCCTCATTTTCAATCCAGTGACTCAAAATTTCTTCTACATCCTCAGCATATCCACTTCACCAAGGTTAACACACAGTCACTGGACGGTGTGCGGCTCTGCTGGTTAGGACCCCGCCTGTGATCAGAAGGTTGCTGGCTCAGTTCCCATGATCGCCTGAATGATTCCATCTTTGGGTATTAACGCCAATTGCTCCAGGGACAGTAAGACCCTGTTTTCTCAAATATACATTGCTTTGGCATCTGCTAAATGAGTAAACATAAACACTCAGGCCGTTGATTAAATTCTCGAGTTTATATTACGAGATGCCTCAATTTTCCATTGTATTTACTGCTGGAGACTGTCTGATGAATTTTTGACACAATTACCCAACATCCCTCAAACACTCCCCTCCGGCTGGTGCAGAAATACAGTACCAGTCAAAAGTCACCCATAGAGAGGTTTCTTAATTCTAAAATGCAGAGAATAGTAAAAAGATATTAAAAATATAAAATGGAAAATACAGAATTATGCACTAACCAAAAAAACTATTGAACAAAACATAGATTAAGTTGTCGTGGGGGGCATCTTTGGGGGTTGGGACTCAGAAGGTTGCTTGTTCAAATCCCCCAGTCAGCAGAGTGATGCATGATAAGTAAAGCCCTTCATCTCAATTGCTTCAGGGGCTGGCTGACCCTGCTTCAAGAGGTGGCCTCCTGGGATGCTTTTCCAGCTGTCCTGAAAAACTTCCCACATATGCTGAGCACTCATTGGCCACTTTTCCACCACTCTCTGGTCAGACTCCTCCAAAACCATCTCTACAGGGTTTAGGTCAGGTGGCCAGGTCATGTTATGCGACACCATCACTCTCCTTTGAAGGCAGCATGGCATGTCCAAACTTCTGACTGGTAACATATAAACGATTAAAGACTCTCAAACAGCTCAACCCCTTCTACAGACATTAATTAAAAATACCTGCTATGAAATGTAACTAATTCACATGACAAAGAACAAAAAGAGCAAAGATAAACAATTATTCAGCCAAAGTCAATTGCTATTCAGCATGATTAAAAGTAATAAGGAGTGGCACATTTATTCATATTAACCTCTTCAGTCCACAGGGTGGAAAACATGCAAAAAAAAGATATTTCTTTAAAAATGGAAAAAAAAAAAAAAAATCTACAAATCCATTAGGGGGCATAAGAGATCCAGCCGTGCTGCTATTTACACCCGCAGAGACTGAAGCTTTGTGTAAAATCATTCGTTTTCTTCGCGAACATGCATTTCAGCAATAACTCATTTTATTTACAGTAATAATAATAATAATCTGCCATTTTTCATTATTCACACAAGGCATGACCTGCAGGGTTAGCATGTAGCATGGGGGACAGGGAAGTTTGTTTTCCACGAGGGGCCGTCTGGAGTTATTAACCTGAATGGCTCCAGGAAAACCTCAAGTAGTATAAATGGACAAAAGCTGCGAGACGCTTTGAATAAAACATGTCAGCCGAAGCATCAGATGTAAATGCACGAGCGCAGAGGTGTGGTGCACAGCTTGGTTACCTTGCCATCTTCAGAGCAGACACCGACATGCTCTCCACCCTCATCCAGGCTGATCTGGTTGATCTTCACCGAACTCTGGGAGAGGAAGAGTGAATCAGTGTGTGTGCACATGCACAACGACAACACCGCCTTTGGCCTCGCTGACCTCGATTCACACCAGCCCAATTCCGTGTCTGCTACCTCCACTAGTAGCATGAGAAGATGGGAGAGCACGAGAGGGTTAAAATGGGGTGGGAGGCCATTTTAATCGTGAACCTGAGCCCCGCCCATCTGTGCCAGAGAAGCACAAGGAGAATGTGCTGAGCCTGATGCTGGACGGCCATCGATCTGACATGCAATGCGAGTGGCGCGGCCTGGGGGAGCGCATGCACAAGGCTGGCAGCCCACTGCGGCCACCTCCCAATATGGAACATTATATATCATATAAAGAAATAACATTACGTCATGGTACGTAAAATTTACATGCTCTTCATGTGTCCCAATCAGCCATAACATTAAAACCACCTGCCTAATATTATGTAGGTCCCCCTCGTGCCGCCAAAACAGCTCTGACCCACTGAGACATGAACTCCTCAAGACCTCAGAAGGTGTCCTGTGGTTTCTGGCACCAAGTCGTTAGCAGCAGATCCTTTAAGTCCTGGAAGTTGTGAG